AGAGTGAGAATTGAAAAACGTCCTGCATGCTGCTAGTAGTGGAATGTCGTCGAGTGCGGGCAAATTCACAATGATAACAAATGAGATAGGGCATTTTTAGCTTGGTAAATACGGCAGTTTCGACCAAGGTTGTTCCACAAAACGCGTAAAAGCGTTCAAGGCAATACTGAAAGGTATTACGGGTAGTAATATTTCGCGTTGCTTGACTGAGACTCGCGGTATTTAAGCAAGGAAGAGAAGCACAAATATACGTGGTGCTGTTTCGTTCAACCACGCTGAAACACCTTGAGCTTCAATAAAGCAACGGTACAACACCAGTACCCATAAATTTCTTTCAACGCTGTCGCGTTCGCTTTTGTTGGAAGTTTCTCGAAACAGCTTTCTGTATGGGAAGAGCAGCATTGAAAGAGCAACATTAAAATCAACAGTCAGAACTAAGGTTTAACTTCCTTTACACGCGTAGCTTGCCTTAGTTACCTCATTTGGTTATCTGCGCTTGGAGTGACTGGCCAGATGTGATTACTTTGATCTAAAATCCCGCTCAAGTCTTGGGACGCTTTCAAGTGCACTTTTGTCCAAGATATGGTCTTTCTGTTCACCTCTCCCTCCCCACCCCCAACACAATGTTGATGTTGATTCTCATTATATATTCCAACATTGCTTTGGGGGTGGGAGTCGGAAAATTAAATAATTACCTCCTACCTAGAAATAATGCGTCGCCAACTGGCATTTTGTCCAGTGTCCCAAGAACGTTTGGCCAGGATTGTAGGTTTAGGCAAAACTCATAAGAAACAGACCGAAGGTGAAATCAGAGCTGACACACATTTCCACATCCCCTGGATTTACAAAATGTGCATTTAACTGCTCGGATATCTACTGATAGTCGTTATAAAAAGCCATACTACACCGCACAGAAACGTTTATTTAATTTCCACAAGGGAAACTCACAAGATAATGCCCCAGGGGGACACCCTCTGAAGAAAGTTACAAGTACTGTACAAAATAACCCGCCCATCCCATCAAAGTTATTGCAAGGCACTCTGAAATTAAACGTGCACAGGCAGGCCAAGAAATATGACTTATGAGGAAAAACAAAAATAGGGGAAATCGTTAAAAAAGGACCAATGAATTCCACATGGAAAAACAGACTCTTGCGGTCCAAAAGATTTGATAATTAACGACGAAGTAATAAGCTTGAATGAGTTCAATTTCTCTCATTCGTTCTACGTTTCAGTTATGAGAAGTCCATTAGTGGCTTGATCTGTCACTGCGTGACTTCGTTCCCCAGAATCAAGTTCTTGCTCCACACTTTTGGTAGCAGGAGTTACTGATCGACTGACCCCATTACACAGCTTAACATCTATCTCTGCGAGCTTGCACGGTAGCGACGTCTTGAGGTCACGGTGGAGGCCATTCGGCGCCGCTGAGTCATCGCTCTCTCCACATGTCGAATCACTAACGCTTGTCTCATAACATGTAAGATCCACTAAGGGATCTGAACCATTTTCAGCGTCTTTATCTTTGTCATGTAACTCTATACCAGCTTTACCCTCGACATTGCCATCTGCTGCAATTTCTGGTCGAGAGGTCTTGTTTGTGTTAATTGTTAAAGAAGGTAACGACTTGTTCTCGCATGATACCTTTGTTTTCCTTAGGTCTCTTTCTGGCGAAACAGTTGTCACTGTTGGACTGTCTGTCCCCTTCACTGTCTCACAATTTGACAACAGAGCGTTCATAACTGTGTCAGATATTTCTGTGTCAAACACACGATTTGATCCCACATTAACTGACTGTTTATTAGCAGCTGTAATCTCGGAGGACGCCACTGTACCCAGCCCAGTCCGCTCATTGCCGGCAGCTAAAGTTGCGCAGCTAGGTTTTGGATCTGGAGCTCTTGTTACCAATACTGTTGAATTGCTTCCCGCGGTTACAGATGAAGTTGAAGAGGCTGTCGTCTTTAACATGATCGGTTTATTACCCAGAGCTAAAGAACTGGTATTAAGTTCAGATGGTTTAACTTTTAATGGAGTTTTTGCCGCCTGGTCAACTGGTTTGTTGACTGTGGCAATTTTGGTTTTTGGAGGCAAAGTCGTTGAGGCTGACAATACAACCTTATGCCCAAGTGCAGTCTGCGCAATCTGAGCTGTATTGCCTAACACAGCAATCCCCGCTCCGGATAACTGAGTTGTTGTACTTGTGGTAGATGAGGTTAATGAACTTGAAGGTCTGATAACGACTACCTGTTGGGGCGCTGACGAAGTAGGCACGACAATAGCCCCTCCCTTGACTGCCAGAGGCACAACCCCTCCTGATCCTGGGCGTTGCACTAGAAAGACTGGGGAAGTAGACAATACACTAGAAAGTTTGGAGGGTGTAACGGAAATGGCCACTTTTGGGACGGCTTGGCTTGGCAGCTGAGAAGTAGCTGATTTAGTACTAAGCGACGAGCTTGCGAGCGTCGCTACTCCAACTGGATTTGACGATGAAGAAGCTGAAGAAACGACGGCGCTTCCTTGCGTGGTCAGGACAGCAGGATTCAACGTTTTCCCTTGAATCATGGGTTGGGACACAGGCACGGTTTTCAGCACTTGTAGCGGCACTCCAGAACTTGACACCAACATAACTTTTCCTACACCTGACGATACCGCGGCGGACAAGCGCGCTTGTGACTGATGATGTTGAACGGCAGCAGAAACAGCTGTTGATGAAAGACTCTTGGAAAGGGTGACAGCTTGATTGGAGGTGGTACTGCGGAAAGGCGTCGTAGGCACTCCAACTGATGAACTAGGCTGGGCCGCCACTGTAGATGAAGCTGACGCATTTAACGTAGCGGAGGGTTTAGACAGTATTCTGACCGAGTTCAGCTTCTTCTCTGGTTGTGTTACCCTAGCAGAGGGCAAAACTGTCTTTATAGAAAGTCCACTTGCTGAGACAGTGTTATTTGTATTTACCACGGCAGAAGTCTTAACTGTGACATCAACTGCTTTCTTGGCAGTAACAGAATGCAGACCAGCAGGAATATGGAGAATGTTTGGTCGATTTCCCTGTGGGATCTTGGTGACGGAAGTCGGAGATATGTCGGCAGCTCCTCCTTGAGGTACTGTCTGGGCAACTGTACCAGGTTTGACCTCTGTTCCAGGCGCATGCTTCTTTCGCTTCTTTTTCAATCTAGGAGGCGTTGTTTGAATGGCGATGGAGCATGAATCGTCTTCTTCCTGAACTCCTGGGCTTGCAACAGACTGGTTACTTTCCTCAACAATGTTCGCCTCTTCAGCTTTTCTCTTTTGTGGAAGCGAGATCTGAGTTGCTGCGTTGCCTTTGTTCTCGCCATCTTCGCCATCTTTGTTGGCTTGGTCAGACGTTGGTGATTTGTTGTTCTTACTCTCTTCGTCTTCCAGAATAAAGTCTTCGTCACTGGACATGTCCCTTGCTCCAGCATCTTCAATCTCGTCTTCAACACTTTCTTCACTGCCCCATTCCTCTGCTTCTTCAGCAGGGACGACCTCTTCTGTAAAACATAAATAAGAATCAAGGTTCTTGATAACTTGTCTATACTATGCCAGAGCAAATCATGTGCGGCGCGAGTAAAATAATCGGGGGCCATGTCAATTCTCGACGAGAAAACCAAATCCATCCAGAGAGAATTAAAGAGAATGTGCAGAGACTAGTAGGAAGCAAATGAGATCTGGAGCACATGGTCATCAAATGAGACGAAAACAACATCTGAATTATGCATGTATATGGGTTCTTGATTAAGCGTGAGATCAAGATGGCTGGATATTAGCCAGGTTCTTTTTTGGCGTCCATAAACTCACAAAAAAAGAACGAGGCCAATATCCAGCCACCTTGACCGAACAAGCTTGGTCAATAAAGGATTTGTTATACGGCTTGTGGGAAAATTTTTCTTGCGGCACACAGTGGGTTTTCCACGTAGCCAATCACAGTGCTGGATTTGGTTCATCTTGCCCGCTCACGGAGCTAGCCATACAAAATAAATTACAGAGAAACAGCTAACACTACCATAGCAATAAAGTGAGCAAGGAATGGCGCAAAGTACAGCTTTGTAGGCAGGCATAAGGTGAAGGGTGCATCCAAGCCTCGTGGCCCATCATGCCATATCCGGAGCAATTTAGAGTCCAGTATATCTAATACCCCCTAGATGGTATGCTCGTCTATCACAGAGTTCAAACCCCCCCTCCCCCCTTACTCATACTCCAGGGTGAAAAGGGTTCTTTCCAAGAAATCCACAGACTAAAATAACAGGATTAGTGACCTGGCTCTTCAACTGGTTCAGGTTCTTGGCTCTCCTTCATGATCTTTATCTTTGCCTTGCTCATCAACTTGCTAAATGACATCTCGTACTTTTCCAGTTCTTCAAGCAAGGCTAACAGGCTGCCATGCAGATCAATTTCACAACGCTTTCTTGGGGGTGGGGGCTTGGGTTTCCTGCCACGTTTCTTAGGGGGAGGAGGTGGTTCTGCAAATTTCTCACAGAGCTTCTTCAGAGACTCAACATCGAATGCAGCGAGTTCAAACCCTTCAGCAATTGTGTTCTTTGGTTCCTGCTGTTGTTTTTCTACAGCTGGCGGGGGTAATTGTGGATTTGGAGCTTCTGGTTCAGGAGATGGTGTTCCACTTCGTAGCTACATCAAGGAAACAAAAGATGTTTGAAAACCAGGATGTAATAACAGCTAGGTAGAACAGCCACAACTTTTAGCTAAATGACAGCTTTACTTACCTTTCTAAGTCTTGAATCTCTCCTGGGTTGGTTGGGTGTGGCAGGACGTGTTGAAGTTCCCTTGGCCTTTGTTGGAGCTGGTGGTGGGGGTGGAGGTGGGGGCGTGGCAACCTTAAATGCAAAGAAAATGGTCTGTTAGCCCTTAAAGGGTTAAATAAAACTGAAGATACTTAATGAGAAGGAGGAGAAAGAGAGGGATGAAGACATGACTTGACTGACTCTGAAGAAGTATGTTTGTAACATCAACTTACCTTCTTCTTTTGTTTGTTTAATGTTGGGACATCCAAGGGACACTGCTTGTAAATACGTAAATCTGAAGCAGAGAAGATCGGAAAATACAGGTAGGACCAGCTGTTTGCATCATTTCCCAGCACCATGTCTCTTTGTTCAGTTGAAGCAATGGTGGAAAGATGTTCACGGAAATCATAGTCTCTGACCTGGAATTCAAGAGAAATAANTTCATCTTGATAGCTTAGTGGTTGGTTTTGTAAGTACAATAGATCAGCCCTTACAAGCCAAAGTCAAATTTCAATAGTTTTGCCAATACATGTATTTAAAACCTCCTATCCCTCCTCTATCAACCTTTCAGCCCAACAGGAACTAAAGGAAGGTTTGTTAGAGAACTGTCAAATTTAAGACTCTTGAGTCATTAATAAGGTGCCTAAAGTAGAAGAATTTTGAGTGTTACAGGATTGTCATTAAATTCAAAAAAGCTGGTTGTACAATAAAAGTTGGCAGTAACAATTTGAAGATGCCATCCTCCCCTTTCGTCATTCCTGAATTCTGCGTTGCTGGTGTTCATCACTACAGTAACCAGGAAATATAGTCAGCTATCAAATACTAACAATAGCCCTGATTCAGCTTCCGTGTGAGCAGGGCTTTTGTCTCCCAAATTTAGCAACCAACTGCATTGGCCATGAGCTCAATTCTACATATTACAACACAGAAAAATAATTTGTCGCTCTCTATGTTCTAACTACAGTGTAGGTCAGAAATTCCAGGTCGATGTGAATACTTACCAACACCTGACCATCCTTCTCTATAGCCTTGTACCAGCTGTTTAGTCGGTCACATAGCTTAGATTCCCAAACTTTAAACTTCATGGGAGGTTTCTTGAACAAACTATCCACAAGGGATAAACAGATATTTTGAAACAATTATTAGGCAATTGAAACAACCACTGCCATTAAGTTCCAAGTGAATGCATGGAAAGAAACTCTGCATTGCATGGCAAATCTACCAACAAAACAATGCCAAAGAAAGAATACTTTTAAATAATTTTAAGAAGGTAGATAAAACATTCACCCTGCTGTAAGGTCAAATTACAAGTAAGTCTAGCCAGTTTTTTGCTGGTATGAACACTAGATAGCTATGCTTTGTGAAGATTTCAACTATTGTTTTCTTTCCAAAATAAACTTCTCAGGGGGGAAGTTTCAGGAAGCCCCTCTGATAGAGTTAATCACAGAACATTTGTTAACACTACATTAAAACATTCCAGCTTCACGCAAGGTAGAACAGTAGTGTCTTTACAAAACCACAGTTATTGTACATTATCACATTCATTATCAATGGTAGAGTTATAACACAAGAACATTTTGTTTTATAGACATCTCACCTTTTTCTTTGATGTGGAGTAATCAAAAGAGCTGTAAATATTCTAGCCAGTAATGAGGACTTATTAGCATAAACAAAACTCAGCTCCAGTTCGGTGATATTGAGGTCTTGTATGTAGAGAAAATCTTTTAATAAAAACAGTAAGCCAGCTAGTGAAGGAATCTGTAAAGAGGAAAAAAGAAAAATATTTACGTACTGCTTGGCAAAGAGATATGTAAAATGGCATTCCCTGAAAGAAAAAAAAAACTGTTTAACTTAAGCGAAAAACTTCTTCCAACAATACCAGGAATTCACTTGGAACTACCTCAAAATTGTTTTGGATACAATGGATGACTAAAAACACATTTCATGACAAAATTAAATTCTCAATAAATTCTTATTACATTTACCTCCCACATTGAATGAAGCTGCTTGACCACATCAGGACCTAACTCTTTTTCTTCCCACACCGCTAAATCTTGAAGCAAAACTAAATTAGCTTCTTTCTTCTCCTTCTCACGTATCCGACGACGTTCACGTTCTTCTATGTCTTCCTGAATCTTCAGACGTGTAAGCAAAGAAGAAGAGCCTTCTCCATTGATCATATTAACATATGAAACACGAGCAGCAGTGCGTCGACGACTGGTCCCTTGAAATAAGAAAACAAACATTCTGTTACACACTCACTTAAACTCTGCTTAATACTTGATTATGCGTATTCATTGCATCAATGAGATTGCAGGGCTCGAAAAAAACCCTGAAAATCCAGCATACCCTTGGGACAGGCAGCTCTCAATTTTTGCTTGCCCTAGGCAAGTCCTAGTCTACATTTTTTTAATTTAGTTGGACACGACTTGCTTTCCCAGTGTGAAAGTGAGAATGAAAAGTTACTTGCCTGGGAAGAAAATCTGCTCGTCCCGGATGACTGAACGGCAATGTTTTCGAGCACTGTATTGTACAGTTGTTATGATTACCAAGCCATGATACTAACAGAGATAATAGTTTTAACACAACATATCACTTTAACCTACCATCAGAGCCTTCAGCTGGAATGAAATCACTTCTCAAAGCCATGGTAGCTTCTAAGCTAACCTTGTCTCTTAGGGACCTGAACATAAATTTAGAAGAACTAAATGAGCTCAAACTGAGAGTCTCTCTGTGAGTGTGTGCCAATGAATAGATGTGATTTTTGTAAAATGAAGCATTGTTCTGAATAACAGATAAGTCTGGGAAAAGGGAGCGGAAAGGAACCAAAATAACCTAGAGGACTATGGCAACAGATTTGCCATAGAACTTATTGAGAGTTTAAGTTTTAAATATTATCTTAAATTATGACCAGTCTTGTTTTTAATTTTTTTCAGTTCACCATTGACCTGCAATGTTAGATGAATGTCTTGAATATTACTAGTGACAAACTTAGTGTTCCAAGTGAAGGGGTGTACACAGGGATGTATCTAAGGGCCAGCCGTAGTTGTAACAGACAAAATTCCAGCAGATTTCTCAGATAAAAATATACTTCCCCTGACCAGATAAATACAAAATGCCAGATATGGTAGTGGCTTCCAGCCTCCCTTTAGAGCTGTCCTTTTTACCTTGACAGTGACAGTTCACCTTCTTCATGAAGGAAAAAAATCTATTGTGATCACAGTGACCTGAAACGTTTCTTCTAGTCTTCAATTGCATTATATGACTGTTATAATTTTAATTTTCCATGACTTTTCTTCAAACTGAGATATTGGATGGTCTGAAATGTTCACCTGTTTAACAAAGCCAGCTTTTGCTCCAGAATTTTCTCCATTTTGTGGCCAAGTTTTGAGACCCAGTGGTCAGATCCATTGTAGCGGTAACAGTTTTCCAAAATAAGACGGATGTCACCAATAACTTCTGTGATGCTGTTGTATTCATAATTGTTAAATTTACAACCAACTACCGAGAAAAAGAACAAATAGAGTAAAATTAGTTTATATAATCTAAATGCACTGTTGGGCATTTTGTTCTTCAAGTAACTGTACCATGAACAAGTTGCTCACTGAGCAAGGGCATTTCAGAGACACAGACACATTAAGTGGACAAACCGACTCTAGTGGAGAGCTGCCGAAGTCAAGAGTTATTGTTTTACTGTGGTGAGAAGATAAGTCTCAGTGATACACATGGCTGAGGAGAGTTGAACGGTTTCCAGTTTTTTTGCTGGTTGTACGCATAAGGGCATTACGCTAAAAAAGAAGAAACAAGCTAGAAATTTACACCATAACAAGGGTAAACAACTTTTTTGGGGTGGGCATACTTTTGGGCAGACTAAACAAGGAATTCAAAGAATTTTAAAAGTGTGTTCTGTTTCAAATCAATCCCCATATACTGCTTTATGTTAGTTTTTCAAAGAATAATATTAATGATATCAAATCTTTTTTCTGTTTTCAGCAAAAATTTAATTCCAAAAAACTGTTTTCGACAAGATTGTTGATGAATATAGTTAACCTCAGTTCACTTTGTGTAACTGAGAAAAGATAATATTACTAAGATAGCATTTATGGGGATTCCCTTGATCAAATAACATTAATTTTAGCGTTTTTTTATGCAAAATGTAACTTCAGTTTTACTGTGTTGGAATAGAGATTGCTTTAAATTATGATACCTAAAAAATAAAATTGTCATCCGTAAAAATGGTTTACAGTTTTAAACTTGAATATATAACTTTGATAGAAGGTTACTAAAGATCAATTAGTGAAAATTTTTCTAGCAATCAAAATATGGATAAGAACATAAAAATGTCAAAAACATCGCTGACAATATCTGACACAAAATTTACAAATTGATGATACTAACGAAAATTTATGTTTTAAAGACAAAAAACAAGTAACTAGTTTCATTAATAACACGAACTCAACAATTCTCAAGCAGTGGAAATGTAACCATTCTGAACACGAGGGACAAAATGACAGTTTTTTTCCCTTGCTAAATGAAAGGCTGTTTTCGACTCTGAATTTACAAATGTACCCAAACACTTCTTAAAACTAAAGGTCAAATCATTTGTGAACACATTTCACCCGAAAAGGAACAGCCCTTTCTAATCAGATCGGTCACTTTAAGATAACATAATCAATTAATTAAACTTCTACTAACTTTGATGGAAACTCATGGGTTCTTTGATTCTCTCGTGATAGTCCCACAAACCAAGTGCCTCTGCGTCCACCGGCTCCAAAAATGGCCAAGTGACATTTTTGTAAGAATCAGCCGATATTTCCATGAAAACACGGTATCCTTGTTGCACTTCGGGACTAAGTTTGGTTAGATCTAGGATGTTCACTTGTTGTACCGGCGATTTTTCTGTTTCCGGCGGTTTAGCACGAGTTTCTGAAAGTTCAACCGGCACGACTTCGTCGGTTTCTGCGGGCTCTGCAATCGGATTTTCAACCACAATTTCATCTGTTTCCATTGAGGAAGTTTCCATTTTGAAGTACTAGGCACTCAGGCAAGTTCAGTAGCCCTTCAGTGATATATACGAAAGTCCAGTCTGTCAAGTTTCTATATAAAACACAGTATGAAAGGCAAATGCCTGTGAACCATGCCAACTTCCCTCCGACGCATTGTTGATGCGCAGCCGATGAACAAAGGTCGTGCGCCGACTCAGTAGGATAAACTCAACAACCACGCTACGAAAGCACGTTATCCAAATTTTGCCGAGTAATTAACCGCTTGAATTCAAATCAACCCAGATAAATCGCCATTCCAAAACGAAAAGGGAGGAAAAGGGTTCATTTACAAACCGGTGAATAAATAGTCGCCGTGAAAATTCAATATACGGTAAACGAATTAACTCTGGCTAGTGCCAGACCCCTTAACTGGCACAGATCTCGGAGCATGCATCTGTGAATTCAATTAGAAATTCACCCTGAAATCACGAATTAACGAAAATTTAGTGTTATAATAGTAGGATTTACTAGCCTGCGATGTTTACTTCATTTTCGTGTTGTCTAAAACACAAAAATTATAGAATTTTTTGAACACCGACTCCATATCGACTATTACAATTGTCGAGCCCGCGATACCGCCAATTCATTTGATTTTCCCGCCGGTTTCAAAGTTTCCCGCTCATCTCGCTCATCTCAACAAAGGACTCGACAGAGAGAACAGTCCTTGAGAGATGCCGCTTCTGGGAAGGAAATCCTTCAAGCCGAACCCACTTCCCAAAGATCTGAGGTCTGCGGAAGAAGTATTTGTCATCAAAGAGACGAATGAAGTCTTTAGGTCGTATGAGTATCCTTGAGAATCGTGTAGAATTGCGCAGTGAGTTTTCGAATTACCGTGTTTTCAAATCTGCGCACCGATAGAACAATGTCGGTTTTGTCGGCTTATGATCGATTTGTAGAATAATAGATGAGTGTTTATTCGTTTTATAGGTTCTTTTTAGCCCATATAAAATTCTGCGTTGAATAACTAGTGGAATAAGGCTTACGTCTCAAACATTCAAAGAAGAAGTGGCTGCAGACATCGGACATGCATGCTGTATGCACATCGAGTGTTGTTGGCTGTCCGAGTTGTCGATTTCACCAATGCCAAACTAAGGTTACCGGTCGTTTAGTTAACATTGTGCCATGTCAGATTATCGACAAGATGAGTTCATGCGTGAATGTCAAGTAAGCCATTGGCTGTTGATGCACCGAATTTTTCTCGCTTGATGCACTTACTGGTTTAAAAGTTAAGTACTTCAAGCTAGTAAAGTACACCAAGCAAGAAAAGTAAACTTGGGTCAACAACAGATGATGCAAGACTCTTTCTACACACAACATTCATCCATTTTGTAGACCCGCACAGCAGCATGGTATTGATTTAATTTAGTATAACTTTTTCATCCTTTGCGTGGTGATCAGTGTATGCCTGCCAGCTCTTGCATATTATGCATGAGTCTGATACGTGTAAATTAATAACATCAATCTTTCAAGGTCTTTGGCAACATTCAGAAACTGCCAGAACATCTTCGGAAATCTTTGGCAATGTTTGTAATTCGTCAAAACATCTTTGAATCTTTAGCAATGTTCACAAACAGTCAATGAAAATCTCACACATCTGTCTCTGGAAATGGTGGCAGGTAAACCAATGCTCCTTCAGAGTTAAGCTGATAAGAGGTGCTCCATGAACTATAAACTTAATTCTCACTGGGACAAAAAGAGCAATGAGGAGAATATACTTCTTGCTCCTGGATTTGTTATGTTATGCTTCAATTCTCTTCTCTGACCTTATATTTAAGTACTTTTCCTTGACATGATGAAGTGAATACGTAAATCGCATCATTCTTTATGGATTCCAAGTATGGGGCTGTCAGCTGACTGGAAAAACAAACCTGAAATATGGAGAAGCTGTTGCAAGTGAAGAGCAGACACTTAAAAGACTGGAGAGCTTCCCAAAGTATTTAGAAAAACCAATTTTGCAGCTTGTTCATCACAGTAAGTACAGTTTACACATCTGTGCTGCTGATAATTCTTCTGTGTTCTAATAGTTAATGGAGGCACTACATGGTTAGCACACTGGCTTGAGAGGTCTGGGTTCAAGCCCTGGCCTGGGTCATAAGGTTATGTTCCTGGGCAAGACATTTTACTCTCACAGGACCTCTCACCAGTCAGGTATATAAATGGGTACTGGCAAAGTTAGAGCTTGGGATAGCCCTGGGAGTAGAAGCCCTCCTAGTTGCTTCATGCTGCAGAAACTGGGATAAGCTCCAGTGGTATGGCCACTGGCCTGACACAGACTTAATCTTTTACCTAATTAATAATGCGTAAGACTTCAAATCAAGTGGTATGGGCTGCAGCATTCACTAGGGCCATTGTATTGTGCTCTTGGTAAGGAGTTAACACTCAAAAATCCGCTTTCTACCCTGGAGTTATTATTCACTCTTAAACAACCAACCAGGCGGAGTGGCTATACCTTTTATCTGTACTTCTGATCAGTTACAGAAACTGGGTTAGGCTCTGATCTGGTAGCTGTGGTTCACTAGGCTTGTGAAGTCTGTACCTACCAACTGATGAACTACATGTTGGCCATGAGACTAATGGAGATGACTGTGTTCTTTTCATCTGTTTTACTTAGGTACATGCACACTTCAAACCCTTGTACAACAGTGTTACAAATATCTAGAGAAAGTGTATGTGGAAAATGAGCCTGTGGAGTGTTGTGTCAATGGAAAGTGGTAAGTCATGGTCAGCTATGAAAAAACAGTTTATTAGTATGCAAAGAAAACCAGTTTTAAGGTTTGCCACTTGAGCAAGCTGTAACTATGACACACTAACCCAAAAGTCATTCTCACTAGCCCCCATAATGTTTCTTACTTTCTCTCTGATTTCTTTTTGCCTGTCGGGCAAGCAAAGAATAGAATCCATGGATCATGTTTACTGTAGGTAGTGTCAGTCGACACTATCGGCCGAGTATCAGTAAACAATCGGCTGATACATGAGCAACATATCAGTCAACAGTTGGTTAAGTGTCAGTTGAGTATCGGTTGATTATCGGTCAAATGTCGATTGAGTAGTAGTCAAGTATTGGTTGATATGTTGGCCATTACACGACTGACACATATCGGCTGACGTATTGACCAATACTAGACCGACACTCAACTGATACTTAACCGCCACTTGACTGACTGTCTGCCAACATATCAGCTCTGTATCAGTCGACACTTGGCTGATACAAGGCCAATATTTGGCCAATGTATCGGCTGACACTACCTACATTAAACATGATCCAAATCCACAAGCCTGATCGAAAAATCCATGAGCCCTTGCCATGAGCTATTGGACACAGCTTCCTTTGCATGTTGTTTGAGATTAGTTATAAGCCATAAATACAGATCGCTCTTGTTTTTCATTCCCCTGCCACATTTTTTATCATACCCATAATTTGATTGAAAGAGTGGAATGAACTATGACCCCATGAAAAATAGACTCAATGTATCAATCTGATTATAAGAAGTAGTCACAAGGTTATAAATTATCTTTTGACAATGTAACTCTTTTCCTTACAAGATCATGATGAGATTGAAATATTGCAAGAAATTTTATAGAGTATTTTTGTTGTACTGATAGTAAAAATAATAATGAGACTACTTGACATCTTTGTTTTTTTATCAGGCTAATTATTAAACATCTCTTATTCCAAAGATATGTAAACTTATCAGCCTTTTTCCTTCTTTTTTAAATTCTCCTTGGTATCATTCAGGCATCAGGGTAGAATTTCCAGAATTCATGGCCAAGCCATCACTGGAAATGTGAGTGTACAGAAATCATGCTTTTAGTGAAGAAACCTCCATTAGGATATTGTTCAAGTCGTAGTTATAATACACAAAGCATGAAAAATGGTTAAATATAGGAGGCTAAATGACCTAAGGACCTAAGGACTCGCACACACATTTTTGCTGGACCATTATACAGTCCTTGTATACTGTCCAAGGTAGATCATCAATGTATCAATCAATTAACCAAATCAATCAATCAATCAATCAATCAATCAATTAGACAATCAATCAATCAGTCAAGCAGTCAGTCCATTATATTTAGAGATAGTAGAACCCAAGGTTGACATGAACAATTGAATCCAGTCTGAAGTAGAACTAACATAAACTGTTGGCTTTCGAGGACAACTGGGCATACCTCCTGTCCCCATGGTAACCCAGGTTAAAAAATATCGCTGAAGATAAGGGAGAACCAATAGTGTAAAAGTCACATGTTATGCCAGACCAGAACCAAAACCAAGCAACACTGGAGGCAAGTACAGATCCAAGCATGCAGGCACCTAACTTTTTGTGCAAGGGGATATATCTTGTATCTCCCATCCCAAATGTCCCACAGACACCACCTACCCACTTGCATACCGTTTGTATTAAACATTCACTTGTACTGAATATGCTTTTAGAAGACTGATGTAAGATATGACATTGAGTGTGACAGTGTGCAAGATTGCTTGAAGGATGTTCCATCTGGAGATATAAAGTAAGATATTATTTTTTTATTATACAACCTGAACCAAGTTAGATAAGTAAAAGCTTATTAAGTCAGATCTCAATCAGAGTTGTGCTCTGACTTGTAGTTTTTCCAGTCCATGATCAGAATTCTGCTCTTGAAGTCTTTCCAGTCTGTGACTGTGGAATTTTTATCCGCTTATTTCATTATGAAATTGCATAATAAAATTATTTTTATACAATTAGTTGTTAACTTATTACAAGATTGTCTGAGACTATGCTGGGAGAAATACTGGCCCTTGGTCTTTTTGTACAGTCTGTACTATCAAGACATTGGTCTGATATTCTCCAGGTATAGTCCTTCTGAGCTTAGTAATTACTAAGATACATAAAAAATTATATGCTTTCACACTTTTTCTCAGTCAGATAATAAATGAGTTTAATTTCCTGAAATATTGTCTTTGAGAGAATTTTCAAATATCATTCATAGTGTAAATTCTAAGCTGCATCAGCATTCATCTGATTACTGCTACTAACATGCTAATTTGGAAACACTCAAAGAAGCTAGTATAAGAATACTACCATTCATGTTGCAGTTAAAATTTGATTAGATTCATTTGTATGTATCATGGTCAAAAAATGTCTGAAGTTATCTGGGAGCATTTTTTCTTTGTTCAGTGTAAAATGCAGACTGAAGGTAAAATGCAGGCTGCAGACTATAGACGTTTTAACTGAATCACGTTACCACTTCCATCATTGAGACCTAATTCAGACCTGAGCATTAGTCAGGCTAACCTGAGTGATATTCAAGCTAACAAGAGCGATATTTAGGCTGACAGGAGTGCAGACGTCAACTCTGATTAGCCTGAATAACCCCGTTTAAGGTTAGCACCAAATAATGGCAAAAAATTACAATATACACTTAAAAAGACCACTGTCTGCATTTTATCCCTGGTCTGCAGTCTGTATTTTACCCCCAGTGTGCAGGCCACAGTCTGACATCTGTTTTAATACACTGACTGATTTTTTCTTGTTTATTTCAGACGCCTTAAGAAGATGCCATCAGAGGAGACGGTAAGTTGCTTCATAAGGGCCAACACGGAAAACCCCTGGAGAAATGATAACAGCCCTTGGATAGTCAAGGTAATAGTGTAGACTTTGATTTATATTGTCAATGACTGTCCTAAATATCACAGACTTGATGATTATAGAAAGTATATTTCTGAGCTTTTTGTTGAAACAAGTGAAGCTGTCCATAATAAGCAGGCCAGGGTTGTTCAAGTGGTGGAAAACGCTATCCAGCAGATAGCGTGGTTTCTTTTATTAACACTGGCTAGTGATTTATCTGGTAGATAGTGTTATCCACCTTGCGAACAACTGCGGCCAGGTGTCCATGTTAAGTGGGTGTGTATAGATACAATAGGATTCCACTTTATTAAAGGTAAGCTACATCCAGTCCAGTTTTAAGCAGACATGTATGACCCTAACTGTACAGTCTTAATTTAGATTACATCTCTAATAGCTTTGTAAGTTATTCATGACATTGTTTCCCATGGGGATCTGTAGAGTGATTAACAGCTAATTCATCAGTAACTCACTACAGAGGAGTAACCTATGCAGACTGAAAGCTTCTTATAATGTTGCAGAGTAGGTACATTGAGTCTGTTATGCTTAGTTAATTATGATATCTACTTGGAGTTGATAAAGGTAGATTTACCACCGTAGCGAGTTTGTGAAGCTGACATTTTTGAGTGTTAGTCCTGATGAAGGGCTAACACTCGTAAGTTTCAGCAGCAGTGGTTACTTACAACTACTTAGATCTCTTGGATCATGAGTTCTAAAGGCATCCGTGGTCGAGTGTCGATCATTTGACCCTCAATTGACACTCCGTCAAGATCTCCATCAATACTCGGTCAACATTAGATTGACACTCAACTGATATCTGGATTGACACTCGACCGACAGTTGGTCGATAGTTGGCAGGGTGTTGATCAACTCATATGCATTCATCAACACTCGATGGTGTGTCTGTGAAATTAGTTGACTGTCGACCAAGATGTCGATTGAGTGTTGACCGAGTATCGATGGAGATATCGCTTCAGTCTTGACCAAGATGTTGATTGAGTGTTGACCAAGATGTAGATTGAGTGTTGATTGGGCGTCAATCAAGGGTATTGATCGACACCTGACTGTGGATGCCTTTAGTACACATGATCTGATCTCTCTAAACCTGTTGATGGCTACCCTTCTTAGTACAATTTTTCTTAATTTTCAGACTGATGTTGCAAAGAAGTATTCCCTTTTTGACAAGCTGAATGATTTTTCATTAGTCTTAAGCAAGGTACATTGTATTACATTGGTGGTAAACTTTAAAACAGACGTACATTTAGTAAAAAGATCCAAATAGCCACTGGTGCACCATGTTACCTCACTGATATGTTCAAATAAGGGAAAGACGTAGTACCTCTTTACTAAAATCAGTTACATTTGGGGAGGACTGAAAATACAATAATCAGAGACATTTCAAATTTTTCCACTAAATGAGGCTCTGCTATCCATTGATTGAGTGTCAGCAGTCTTAATGGTGATTTATATAGTGGATAGTGTTTTTCATTTTTTGTACAACTTGACCCAGATCATTCAAACTGTTACACTGAGCACAATTTCTGTATGTTGAACTCTTTTGTGCCCTTTAAATTTTTCAGACAACTACTCCTTCATCCAAGAACTCCACAAAAGGCAACAAAAGTAGTGAGAAGCCAAAGAAGAAAGCCCTGGATCAAAGTGCAGGACATGGGAAACCAGGAGTGAACAAAACAAACCTATCACAGAGAAAACTGGACTCATTTACAAAAAGCACTGACAACAGCAATGCTACTGTGAGTCTGTCTAAGTTATCTGACAAGTCTCTGAACAAATTCACCCCTGCAAAGAAGGACACTGTCAACATTTGTTCTAGTTCTGAGAAAGATGATGACAAGACACCATCAGGTCAGCTTCGTGGCACTCCTGTAAAATGTAGATTGGTGTTAACTCCTGTCAAGTCTCCTTACAGAGGGGGCATCAGCAGAAGCCCTGCTTGTAAAACGTCTGGTGTTAACAATGGAGGCAACAAGACCAAGAAAACTGTGGTCATTGAAGATGATACAAATGATGCAGTCATTACAAGTTGCAAGAGTCCTAAGATAAACTCTGGTAAAAAGCTTAAAATGTCTCCAAAGAGTGGGAAGGCCCAGAAGACATTAGGAGGCACAGAGGACTCTAATAAGAAGAACATGAAAGAAGGAACTGTTTCTAAAAAGCTTGTTATGTCGAAATCAGCAACAGTTGATGTTGTTAAGGAAAAGGAGCGTATGAAAGGAACTGGATCAAAAAAGACCAAGATTCCAAAACCAGAAGTTTTGGTGCGAAAAGGAGAATTAGTGAATGTTGATAGTGATTCTGACAAGGATTTTGAATCTTCTCCTCACAAGGTAAATATAAAGCATTTAATAATATTTTATTCCAACCTTGGTAATGATTTGAAAAGTGAACCTGTAGCAAAGATTTTCAGTTCTGTTGCTTGTGTATAATACTAATGTGTGTTTATGGACCAAGAGGCAGGACAGGTAATCGTATAATCCATAATGAGATCACAAGGCCAACTTCTAGCCATCTTGAGCAAACAGCCTTGGTCAGAAACGGATGATGTGAAAAAGACCAATTCATATTACTGGTGGAATATGGCGTGCAATCGTGTTTGGTCAAGATAGCCCCATCTTGAATGGGGAGCCATTAACAAAATTTGTTTCATCTAGCTTGCTCTCAGTGCAAAGCTAGCCATGTCATGAACAAGTTTTCCACCTCTAAAATGAGACACTGTCAGGTAACTTCTACCATCTTTGAGTCTTAACCACTATATTGGCAAAATATTTAACTTTTGTTGCCAAACACTGCTGGAATCAATTGTTGATTTCTAATTAAAAGCTTTTTTGCCAATTTTGTTTCTGATAAAAAAAAAAACACTTTGTGTTTTCAGCTTCAGGCTATAGGTTTATTTCTTTTTTTTTCTTTCATTTCTAAAGCTTGCAGTTAAACCAAAACAATCAAGCAGTAAAATGAAGCAAATGACGTTATTAGACCTCACGAAGAAACCAGATGATCAAGACACAGTTTTACCATTGTCACCAAAGATGAAAGCCAAGAAACAGAAAACCCTGTCTGAAATGTAAGTTTTGTAAATGAATATTGAACTAACTGGTGGCTCAATCAGATTTTTGAGTAACGATACTGTTGAACTTTGTGCCACAGAGCATCACTATTATCAGTCCAACAGAGAATTGAGCATTACTCTTACCATAGTTATGGTTGCCAAAACATGGATTATCTCAGAAGGAGAGATCTTAGGACATACATGTATTCCCCCAGTACAGGCCTTGTGCTTGGTTAGTATGAAGTTTAATAAGCCTTATACAGTGAAGGAAAAATTAATCATTGTGCTTGGGTTGTTGTAGGTTTAGTACTGCCATTCCCAAGGATAAACCTAATCAATTGATGAGTGCTTTGACATTGAAAACTACACAAGTGCCTTCTTCAAGCTGTCTTAATCTTCATACCACCTGTGTAAACCAAGCTCTTGTCACTGAGAAGAGTAATGTGGACAAAGAAAGATTGCAGAGGTGAGTTTGGTGCATTTACAGGGCTTAAAAAAGTGTTACTCTGTTGTCTGGGACAAGTAGATGTTCCCTCTGGAGAAGTAGCTTTTCATTCTCACTTGCTTAATGGGAAAGGGATCAGGAAGTTGTTTGTTAACTATAACTGTGGTTTTGAGAGCTACTTATACCAAGGGAAAGCTGGAATTCAAGTTTTTTCGAGCCCTGACTTATATCACTGTCATTAAGGAAAAACCTAAACCATAAGCCCGTAATTATTTTGCTTCTTTCTGTTTTCCTTTACAGTTTTAGGCAGTTTAATAAAGAAAATGGAATTTTAAACAAGGTGAGCAAGTTACAATTGCTTGATATTGATGAGATAGAATCAAACTCAAGAAACAAGATTTGTAAGTAACATTTCCTTTTATTCTAAACCTACTGCAAAAGCTATACATTGCATAAGCTTAATACATGACAACACTTCATGCCAACAACACCCCTTCAAAATAGCTTTGCACAACCTGCCAGGTCACCCTCTAGAGCAACATTGCGATATAACATGTATCTGTGCTTGAATTTGAGTTTGACATAATGTTCCACTGTCTGTCGCAAAATAGACCTATTGGCAGAAACTTGAAGATAACAAGGTCTTGAACTCCAAGCCTCTTCCACTTGCTAAACCTGTGAATATGCCAAGTGGAATAACAGCTGAAATATTTGGTGAAGTAGCCATGATAGCAGACTTTGTATACACCTTCCATGACCTTCTTGTTCCAAGGGAAACTCTGCATATCTCAATAGGTAAGTGGTGGAATGCCACTATGTCATGTATTAATGTGGTTAAATGCAATTTAAGCTAAGTTAAACGCGAAACAATGCTGGTCAGTGGCCCCCCCTGTTGTGGACATACGCAGTGGTTGGGGTTTGCAGGGGGTCGCATGGTTTTACAGCTCGACTTTTGAGGTCAGCTNTGCATTCTTGCCTTTTCGACTGTGCTTGGCGACTTCGCTCCCTGCCCTCCCTCCCTTTCTGGTAAGTATGAGGTAGGTATCATGGTTCCACTGTTTTTTGCAGTGTGACGGTGCCTGGTGTTTGCCGCTCACAGGGTTGTCATGGTTACCCTACGTGCCCGGCTCTTGTAATTGAGGCTCCACTATCTCTCCAGGCACCTTCCCCAAGCTCATCTATTGTTGATGAGTTTAACAGGAGCTTAAAGTCATGATATTGTTTAAGTCACTTTTTTTTTTGTATTTCGTATATTTTATCTAGATGATTTTTGTCCTTTTATTATGTCTTACTTTTTGCTAAAAACTTTCATTCTGTATGTCTTTTCTTGTAGATAATTTATCGCAGGCCTTGGTTGCTGGTAATGAGGGCTTTCCTCTGTTGTCCAGAATCTTGTTCATCTTTCTTCAGATTCTACTGCAAGACAGGTCAACTAAGGTAAGTTTGGAATGAATAATTGAACAGATCTTTGGAATCCTTCATCTGGTTTGAGTCTCTTCCCCTCTAGATGCAGTTTCCAAAACTTTTCTTTTTGTATTTCCTTTTCTAGTTCTACTTTATTAAACCGTTGAATTATTGATTATAAAACTTATAGATGTAAGGGAGTGGAAAGAAAAGCAATTTTCAGGCGTACCCTTTGGGAAAATTTAACTATGATGTTCTAGCCCAAAAATGGTTCTCGCTAGCCTCCAAAAAATTCATCTTGCAGTATTTCTGCAATAGGCCTTAATTTTGTATTCTTGGCATTGGACTGGAACTAGCTTGCAACTTAGGCTAATGCAGTGAGGCAAATGGCATTCATCTGTTTTTAATGATATTCCCTCGCACGAGCCTCCGTTGTAAGATAGTTCCAGTCTAAACCCGTGAATATATGGCCTATCGAATTTCCTCAAAAATGTTCCCAAGAAACTTACATCACTTCCTTATTGGGCAAGTGACGGACAGAATCCGCTAGCCTGACTGAAAAATCCACCTGCCTTGGGCTATCAGACAGGATTTTCTTTAAATAATCTATTTGACTTTGATGTTTTGTATTTTCTAGGGTCAAGAACTAGGCATGCAGCTAGCTGAAATGCCATTGACACAACAGTCAGCATCAGAGGTCTCACGACTTTACTTAAACTCAAAATTCAAGATACTAACAAGTTACAAAGACGATAAACAGCTCCAGAGAATACTGGAATCACTTCAACATGAAGATTTTTACAATCTCACTCCTGAGGAAAAGACAAAGGTGTTGTTTCTATTTTTAGCTAATCCTTTAAGGCCTTGATCAGTGTAAAACTTCTCCTTACTGGCCTCAGAGATTTCTGATAGTAGTAGTGGGGAGAATTTCCTTAGAAGTCCAGATCTATCAATTTCAGTTTGGTGATCATTTCCTGTATGTATGATTGTTACAAGGCATGCANGAATACTGGAATCACTTCAACATGAAGATTTTTACAATCTCACTCCTGAGGAAAAGACAAAGGTGTTGTTTCTATTTTTAGCTAATCCTTTAAGGCCTTGATCAGTGTAAAACTTCTCCTTACTGGCCTCAGAGATTTCTGATAGTAGTAGTGGGGAGAATTTCCTTAGAAGTCCAGATCTATCAATTTCAGTTTGGTGATCATTTCCTGTATGTATGATTGTTACAAGGCATGCATATGTTTTTATGATTTGAATTGACATATTAAATTCTTATTATTGGTTTAAGTTGATCAGTATAAAATAGTTAAATCTCATGTCTGTATTCACATACATGTATATTATTTGTTAGTGGCTGTTCACCTTACCAACATATTTCAAACTTGATCCTTATTTCCTTGGTGCCCTGTTTAATGTAGATCCTGGTGACCCTTTGTCATGAAGTTTTATCGTCAGATGCCATGGATGACTATATTGGAAGTCAACTCACTGAGGCCACAGAGTTAAGGTACAGTTGTGTTTTAGACTGGTTTTCACTGCTGACAGAATCACATTTAGTGTTCCTTTGGGCAAGTGTTTTTTTGTGGTTGAAGCAAAGACTAAGACTTGATAAGTGTATTGGCCAAAAGCCAGTGCTCGGCACTCCAGATTGAGCAATTGGGGTTTTAGCACTCACTGGGGGCATTGCTTTGCATTCTTGGGCAGCACACTTTACTCTGGCAATATGTTTCTCCACCCAGGTATATAAAGGGTTACCAGCAAATTTAATGCTGAGGGTAACCCTGCGATGGACTAGCACCATCTGGGGCAGTACAAATACTTGTAGTCACTTTGTGCTACAAAACAGGAGATTATTATAGGCCTGACAGACTACTAGACCCAAGTGCAGTCTTAAGCTAAGGTCATGGGTAATAACTGTCAAAATCCCAATGGGTGTTGATTGAGGCTCAAAACTACTTGATGTAAATGATCAATTTATATGTAATTCTTATTCTCTAAAGAAAACAAAAGAAAGCCAAGCAGAAAGAAAAGAATGATAAAATAAGAGAAGAGAAAGAGAGACAGAAGAAAGAGAAAGAAGAACTG